AATACGAGATTCCGTACATGCAGCTCTGCCTGGCACTCACAGTCTTCCCAGAAAAAAAAACATTTTAAATCCAAACAGGTTGCATCTTCTCTCTCTGGAATATTCTGGATAAATCTGCCATTGGAGTGAAAAGAGGCCTTTGTTATTCTGTCAGGAGCGATAGAGCAACAGCAGCGGAAAAGTCCTGGATTTCTGAGTCACAGGAATGGCACAAGACTGCTGTCTTTCTCTCACATTGCAACTTAAAACAATTAATAAGGCACTAACGTTGAGTTGCAGACATGCAAAAACCAGCTAAATGTTTCTGCAGGCTAAGAAACATGTTGAGAAATATTTTTTCTGTGATTTATTTAGAGAAGGAGACAGGTGAATCAGAGCATTTCAGTGCAAACTTTAACACTTTTAAAGCTGCAGGACGACTCTAACTTTAGCTCAGAAACAAGTTTTGTCTTAAAATTATCTTTTTGATAAATGTTTACGATAGATATAATTATTTAATATCAAAAGAGTTGTTTTCGCAGCATCAATACTTCCTCTGCAACACAAAGTCTTCTGTTCTTTGCTTGTATTTGTATAAAAGTGCATTATCTAAACAGGTTAAGATTTATATGTTTTTTTTAAATCCACATTTGAATGCTAATTATTAAAAAGATTTTCTATTCTGTAAAATAAAATCCTAAAACTTTAGAGTGAAGAGAAACCCTGAGGCTCAGATTTGGTGTTGCAGAATCTCTTTAAAGCATATTTAAAGTCCTAAATAATATGTTCTGCTGAATATCAAATTTGTAATATTTCTTTTTTTTTTTTTCCTCCTTTTTTTGGTGCTCAAATTAAGTCATTTGTTGCAAACTTGCTCACAGGAGGAGCAAAAGAATCTCCTGTTGTTGCTGCTTTTCCTTCGCACGTAGTTTTACTGGAAGGATTTAAGTATTTCTTTCAGGTTCTAATTGATTTTGATAGTAAAGGGTTTTTAGATTCCAAAACAAGACGCCAGTGTGCAAATAAAAATAAAAAAAACAACTTAATGCCGTGAAACGCTCACACTGAGAGATGATGGAAAAACCCTAAAAGTTTATTTTTATATCCCCCTAATTTCTAAAAGTGCATTTTTTTTAAAGGCAGAAATCATTAGTTCCAATCATTCTGCAAAAACAGGAATTAAAAAGCAGACTTGTTCACACCCTCCTCTCACATAAATCTGCTTATTGCTCTGCCACATAATTTATTCTTTACACACTTTATACCTGGATTAACCAGTAAATTGGACAAATTTCTGTTTTTTTTTTTGTTTGGTTCTATTTTCACTGTGATACATTTTTAAGAGCTTGAGTAATAAAACTCTGAGACGATGTTTTATTTGACAAGAATTAAAACACCTTGCCGCATCATTTCTGGGGGAGAGGAAGAAATATTTCATTCCAACTTTCTGGGCTACAGAGTCAGAAAAAA